ACTGCTTCTCATGTGCTTATCCACCATCCTCCCGGGCCAGCTCTGGGCCCCTTCCTTCCTGCAGTCTTCCCTGACGGCTCCTCGCTGTAGAGCCCAGCGGCAGCAGTGCATGTAGGGGTTGGGGGACCGGCTCTGAAGGAGACTGCCTGGGGTTCTGTGGTAGGGGCCCTACCATGAGCTCAAACAGGTGGCTTAAATTTTGTAACCTTAGTTTTCTCCTCTGTAAAAGGGACCTAATGACAACCTCAGGATTATTATGGGAGTTAATTGAGGCAATGCATGCAAGGTGCTTAGCACAGTCCCAGTACCTAAGTGCTCAGTACCTATTAGCTGCTGTTACTGTTATTAGAGAGTGCCATACAGTCTGGCAGTTTGCCTCTGTGGCCTGTGACCTCATCACTGTGTCAGGGCTTTCAATTTAGGTAATCTAGGAATCAAGAAAGTCAGGGTGGGAAGGGCCTTCTGCAGGACTGGTTTGCCATAATCACAATGACTAATACCCAAGACACTGGTAGTGCCAGGTGCTGTTTTAGGCACTTTTTCATATACTAAATTGGCCCCCATAGCAGCTCCATGAGGTTAGTGTTCCTATCATCCCATTTTATAGGTGGGCATATGGAGGCACAGAGAGACTCAGCTACTTGCTTGAGGGCACACAGCTGGTGAGGGACAGAGCTGGGAGTTGAACTCAGGCAGGCTGATCTGTGCTAGTTATTCTGTGTTCTAGTCATTCACATGTCATTGGGCCCTGAGGTCCAGAGAGGGGAATGACCCCCCCCCCCCCCCCCAGTCTCACAGCTGGTAAGCAACCTTGGGGCTTCTGAACCTCTGGCTTGTCTCCTTCAAAACCTGGCCCAGGGCCACACAGCACACAGGACGTGTGGGGGGCTTGAGGGACATGTGCTAGTCAGCTGTGAGCTGGAGAGGCAGCAGTAGGGTGGGCCCGGCAAGCCACCTTCCTCCTGCTGGCCCGGACCTCCTGCAGGTGGGGGACCCTGTGCTGGCTCAGAGGTGGAGCAAGTCCGGCTGTGGCAGGAGTTACAGGGTGATGAAGGTTCCAGGTGAACTGAGGGGTGCCCAAGGGACACTCTCATCCCTGCTGGGCCTGGCGGGCTGCCCGAGGAGCCTGGGAGCCTGGGGTGTTCCTTTATCGCTAGGGTGATTTTACTGGAAGTTCTTTTGAAGTGGGCTCAGTGACCCAATGGGGCTGAGTCACAGAGTAAACAGAATAAGCAGGGCCTGGGCTCCAAGGGACGCAGACAATGCCCGGGGCCGGGTCAGCCCCACAGGGCCACCAGGCCGGCTCCCTTCCAAGGCTTCCGCCTCCCCCAGGGCTTCAGAGGAGGCTTGGTTTGATGGGCTGTGGGCCATGTGCCTTGGGGTCCCCTTAGCTGTGCAGAGTCTCAGGCCCCTCCCAAACCTGCCCTTCCTCCAGGTCCCCTGGCAATCGCTGTGACAGTGAAGAGTCCCCCATGTGTGACCTCTGTCCCACACGTCCAAACAGCTGGCCTGCAGCTCCTGTCTTCTGGAACTGTTTCCACTTGACTCCACTTTCTCTGGGAGGCATGTGGGAGTTGGGGGGAGCACCCTGCAGCCCTGCGGGGTGGGGGGTAAGGGGGGGAGCCAGGCTGATCCTGTGGTCCTCAGTGGCTTGGGCCTTTCTGTGAGGTGGACCCTCTTTGAGGGCCCAACATGACACTGGGCTGTTCCAGGTTTCAGGGTAGGTAAGAAGGTGAGGTGACTTAGGGGATCCAGACGAATTGTCACCCTTCCTAGGATTGGGTCAAGTCAGAGTGAGGGGCCATGCAGGGCATCCTTGAGTGCCTGGCTGCGAAGGGACTTCTGGTGACCTCTGAATCTGATTGTGAAACCCTAGAGGTTGATGACGCCCAACATCCACCCCTCAGCCCCACGGAAGTGAAGCCACTGACTTTGAAAGGACATCCGTGACTGGGGGGGGGAGGGGGGGAGGGGGAGAGTCTCTCCTTTTGCTTTTTCCAGACGGTTCTGACCACACAGGCCTAAGACAACAGCTGCAGAGACAAAGCATTACCAAGACAATGTCATCTTTGGGCCTTTCCCCCTTTGTGATGTCCAAGGCTCTGGGAACATTGTGATAACTGGACCCTGTCCAATGTTAATCACGACCCCCACTGGCCCCAGGGAACCCTGCCAGCTGCCTGGGGTGGGGTGGGGTGATGCCCAGAGATGCAGATAAAGATGTCATGCTGCCCCAGGTCAGGCCCCAGAGCCCCGTCGGGCTTTGGGGACAGGGAAGAGGAACAGAATGTATTGGTTGGCCCGTGGACTCCCCCAGCTAGGGAGGGAGGTGGGTGGAGAGAAGAAAGGGCGCCTGCCAAGTTTAATTAACAGTGGAAACTGGCCATGGGGAGGAGAGAGACGATCTGAAGAGGAGGGCGGCTTACTGGAAGATGGGGCACTGCCGGTGCCAGTAACGAGAAAGGAGCAAAGCGTTCCGTTCCCGCAGTGCTTGGACCAGGGCTCTGGCCGCCTGTGTCCCAGGCAGGGCTGAGCTGAGACGGAGGTTCCTGGAGGTGTGAGTGGGAGAGTTTATTTGTACCTGCTTTCCCGAGTAGGCATCTTTGGAAAACAACCCACCAAGGTGCCAGCCAGCCTTCCTTGCCCCCACAGAGAGCAAGGAGATTTAAAAGATGACAGTTGAGGTTGGAAAGTAGACATGGTGTTTGACTCTTATTCCTTGTTGGTGACTGTGGGTGGCCTGGAGTGCGTTGAGCTTATCGTATGGAAAGAGAGATGATTCAAAACAATTTGTGAATCTCCTTGTTTAATTGAGGGCAAAAACGTAGAGGTGTTAAATGCATGGTAAATTGAGTAGCATGGAAAACCAGGTGTGGTGGCCAGCACCTGTAATCCCAGCAACTTGGGAGGGTGAGACAGGAGGATTGCAAGGTGGAGGCCAGCCTCAGCTTAGCCAAACGCTGTCTCAAAATTAAAATGAAAAGGGCTGAGGATGTGGCTCAGTGGTAGAGCACCCAGGGTTCAGTCCCCAGAATTGCAAACAAAAACAAAACTAAAAAACCCGTTAATAGTGGTGTGTGTTGGGCTTGGAATACAGAAGGCTGAATGTGGCTTATTCGCTTTTAATAGGGCCATTTAGTGGGTAATTTTAGGGTGGATGGGGTACTTTGGTTCCATCTCCCTTCACGTGAGGTGCCGTGGCCCTTAGGACACCTGTTCCAGGTGAGTGCTGGCCTTGTGCCTTCCCTCCTGACCTTCCATCCCGAGGCAGCCCAGCATGCAGACAGTTCACCCCTGTTCCCATCTCTGCTCCGTAGATCATGCAGAGCACGCTGAATCCCTCTGACAGCACTGTAGGGAGGCGGGAACCTTCCCGTTCCCTGCAGTCCATGCTAAACGCTCAGGTTCTTCAGAGATTCACAGAAAGCTTGATAACGAGGCGGTTGTCCTTCCTGGCCTCTGGCCTTGCCTTTCCTAAAGTCCCTTCTTTTCTGGTTTTCTCTTCCCCTTCATCTCTTCCTGATGGGCATGCTTGTGAGCTCACTGGCATGCCTCTATATTAAGATTGTATCTCTGCCCTTCATATATGGTCCTCATCCTCCACCCAAGGTATCCCTGTCCCCTGGGGGTCTCTCCTGTCCACAGCCTCAGAGCCTCTTCCTCTGGGGAGCCTCCTGCCTTCCTTTCCTATTTGACCCATCCCTTCACCCCTTTCCCATCTGAGGGTGTGTGGTTACCAGTTGAGATGGAAGAGAACTCCTTAAATCTGGACTTGCTTTTCTGCTTCTGGAGCCTGAGATCTCGTTAGTTCTTGTAGCCTTCTGGCCCAGAGTCCTCAGACTTGTTGCATTAAGCCCTTCCTGCAAAATCCCACCTCGGGCTTCCCCGCCCTGCCAGTCGGTACCCTTCTTCATTGTGTGGTTCTTTGGTTCCAAGAACAAGACGTCCTATTACTCCCATGATATTGTTTTGGGGGACCTGCATCTCTGCCCCTTGATCTTTTTGTGACTCCCAGTCTTGTCTCCCGATGGCCCCGATTTGCCCTCTTTTTAAATTTTGCATTAGCTGCGGCCTTGAAGAGTAAAGCTCACTCTTTGTTTGCACTGCTCAGTGGGAATGGGATGGGACAGGGCATTGTGAACCATGGGACTGAACCTGTCCAGCGTACAGACTGGGGAACAGAGTCCAGAAGACGGAAGCAATTCACTCCGTACCACCAGCCTCTGGTTCATGAGCAGGGCCGGCTCAGAAACCAAGCTAATCCAGAGGTTTTTCCTAATGCCAGTCACGTCATATCGGGTTTTGAAAATACTGGAATTGAAACCAAACCACCTGGAATGAACAACAGCAAAACAAAAAACTACCCAAAGCATGCACTGCTCTTTGGCTCTCTGATAGTGTAATTGCTCATAATGTTTTGAGTGATTTCTTTTTTTGTTTCTGGTGCTAGAGATTTGACCCAGGCCTCAGGCATGCTAAGTGCATGCTCTGCCACTGAGCTGCGCTGCCAGTGAGCAACTTTTATTAAGAGGCCGACACTGACTAAATCAGGACTGAGCTTACATGCAGTGAGGACATACGAGCAGGACAGTCAGGGAAAGAGTAGAGTTGGCTGGTGCTGAGTGCATGCTGCTGCCCTCTGCACGGAAGCCAGCCATGTTGACAAAGCTCTGGAGGAAAGCCCACAACCCACTGTGGCTAGTGTGCTCCCCTGACTAAGTTTTCCCCCAGGTGTCCCAACAAGAGGACTCCAGTTTCCCCTGCCCATCAGTTTCTGGAGCAGACACATGGGGGATAAGGTGAGGCAGAAGGCTGGCTGGAAGCCCCCCAGTCCAGCTCCTGCCAGCCGTACCTCTGCCCTCAACTGCAGGTCCACAGGCCCTGGATTGGCGCTGGCTCCTGGCCTCACGTTGACTGATGGTGGGCTTCTCTGCCAGTGCTTGGGGAATGGACAAGTGGCCCCTTGGAGTCGTAACAAATGGTCTCCCTTCTGTCCCTAGGCTCCACCTACAGTGTCCTGTCCATCATGCCCTCGGACTCAGAGAGCAGCAGCTCCCTCAGCAGTGTGGGTGAGTACCTCTGCCCATGCCCTCCTTCCTGCATGATGGCAGGTGGGTCAGGGCTCTGCGTGTGAACGGGACAGCCCTGAAGGGTTCCTGGCAGGGGAAGCTGGCAGACCATTCGTGGGATCATCTGTGTTGATGCTGTTCACATTCTCTCTTGGCAGCAAAAATCCAGCCCTGGTTCTAAGAGGGGTGGGCATGGGGATGTTTTGCCTTTTCATTTTGATGGGGCATCTGCTTTCTCCATGAGCCTGTCCTCACCTGTCACACACTTCAAAGGCCTCATAGTACTTTCGTGACCACTCTCTGTGAGACTGACCCTTTTGGGGGCTTCCCTCTGTAAGAAGGGCAGAGTGCCCCGAGGACAGGAACAGCCAATCCATGCTTAACTGGATATTTCCCTGAGCCTGGGTTCCTGAAGTCTGCAAAGTGAGGCCGGCCCTCCTTCAGTTCTCTAGGGACGTACCAGCAGGAAGGTTGTAAGGCACCCACAGCCTTGCAGCACCTCAGGCCCGTTCCCTGTGCTGAGCCCTGGGATGGTCTCTGGTGTCCCCTCTGTGATGGATGGGTACATTTGTAGCGCTGAGTCCTGAGGTTTTGGGCTGGAAGGGCTCACAGAGGTCATTTGGTGCAGGTGTTTTACTTTCCCACTCTAGGGAGGTGGGAAAACTAACCCCGGGGGGAGTCTCATGCCTGAGATTCCAGAACTGGCCAGGGATGATGTCCCATTGTCAATGCACATCCTGAACTTCTCTCCTGGGCCTGGGGTGGACGTGTGATCGAGGGCAGATGTGGTCCCTTGGCTCCTGGATCTTGGGGGGGGGGGCAGTGACTATTGGGGTACAGGAGGTGAGTGTGCTGAGAGGGGCCGACAGGTACCAGCATCAGTCTGGTCTGCAAGAGTTCGCCAGGGCTGACATAAGAAAGCACCCCAGACCAGGTGTTTCAACAACAGGAACGCCGCTGTCTCACAGTTCTGGGGAACAGAAGTCTAGGATCAAAGTGTTGGCAGGTCATCTCTCTGAAGGTGCTGGGAAGCATCTGTTCCAGGCCCTTCCCCAGCTCCTGGTGGTTTGCCCTTGGTCCTCAGCGTGTTGACTTTGGATGCATTGTCCTCATCTGTGTGTGTGTGTGTGTGTATATGTGTGTGTGTGTGTGTTTGCACGTGTGCGTGCGTGTCTGTCTGCACATATTCCCTTCTAATAAGGACACTTGCCCTATTGGTTTAGGGGCTCACCTAGCTCCAATGTGACCTCATTTAAACTTGTTTATCTGTAAAAGACCCTATTTCCAAATAATGTTCCCCTTCACATTTGCTGGATTAGTGCTTACATATCTTTTGGTGGGCTCGGGGATTGTGGCTCAGTGGTAGAGCGCTTGCTTACCATGTTGAGGCACTGGGTTTGATTTTCAGTACCACATATTAAAAAAAAAAAGGTCCATCAACAACTAACAATATATAAAAAAAGCTTTTGGGGACCATAATTTAACCCATAACCGTCTGTCTAGGGCTCAGGGAGGACTCTGTGGGGACCAGAACCCAGAGCTCCCCACAGTCTCGCACCGCAGGCTGACCATCCTTCAAGATGTTGGTGCACGTGGTTAGGGAGGTAGGGAGGTGCGGGGTGTAGCATGTGGAGTCCCAGTCTCTCCTCTTGTCCTGGCTAATTGGGAGCATTTGTCAACTATCTAACCTAGCTGGGCCTCATTTCTTCACCTGTAAGGTGGGGAGCTTGCTATGGCTCCATCTGTGGGGTGGTTGCAGTGGTTGAATTAATGCCTGAGATGTCCTCTTTGGCTGCTGCTGTGTGGGTGGGCATGACTGTGAGCTCTGGAACCGGCTTTTCTGGGTGCTCCTCTGGTATTTTCAGCCCACAGTCTTGGGCTGGTAGATCCTCCGTGGGTAATTTCCCCTTGAGATTGATGAGCAGGTAAGTGGTAGGCATGCCCAGAAGGGACATCAGGTGTGTCCAGAGGAAGCCTCACCTGTCGGAGTCAGGGACTCTGAAGCAGGAGATTCAGAGCCCTTGCCAGCCCCACCTCCAGAGCTGCTGGGAGCAGGAGTGAGACCAGTCTCGCGGGAGAAAGGGGAGGGAAGGCTTCAGAAGCTGTGAGTAGAGCCGCTTCGAGGAGCAGAGCTACTCCTGGGAAACTCTGGCCCCCAGCCCACTTCCTGAGAACACTCTGACCCTGAGGCTGGCCTGCAGCACGGGAATCCTGGCTGTTGTGGTGGTGGCTTTGAAGTAAAGAGCACTCGGGGGTCCTAGACCAGATGGCCGACACTACCACCTGAAACCCCGGCTGGCGCCAGGCGCAGGGCTTGAGGCGCCTGTGCTGTTGGATTCCCTGGCACTCCTTGAAGGAGCAAGCCCTGGCTCTTGTCCGGGGGGACGCTTGGTTTGCACAAGTTGTCATCCTCCAAGGATCGGCAGGAGGGGGTGAGTAGGACAGTATGGAGGGGCGAAGCTGTGCGGCCTTCCCTCTGCACGTGCTGGGGTGAGTTGGCCTCCCTGATCCCATGAGAGGGCTGCCGTGAGCTCATCTGACCTCCCTGAGGTCTCCGAGGGTTAGACGAGGCACCAGGTGGAGGTACCCACCGTGCTGACCATAAAGCGCCATGGATCCATCTTTTCCAGGACATCTGAGGAGTTGTTTTTTTTTCTAGAGATGGATTTGACTTTGTCAGAGGTGGTGATGATGTCTGTCCTTAGTAGGCATGAGGGTCTGGGGACAGGCAGTGAGGGCATGGTGCGGGCTGGGCAGCATCACGTCTAGCTCGGCCATGAGCCAGCAGCCCCCTCCAAGCCGGCGCTCCAAGACTGGTGAGGGCAGGTCCAGCAGAGGTGGGGGACTGCTGGGAAGCTGAGCCAAGTGTTCTGCTGCAGTGGGGAGGACAGGGACGTGGCCTTGGGGCAGCTGCCCGGCTCCTTGGGAGCTTTGCTGGGTTCCAAGTGTGTCTTCCTCCTCAGGTCTTTGTTCAGGGCTCAGAGATGTGTGTCCTGCCCTTTGTGCCTTGCCCAGGGCTGGGGGATAGCTAGCATTTCTAGATCAGGCAGAGCCACAGAGGTTCCTCCTGGAGGTGTCAAAGCTGGCTGGGGAGAGGGTGGGTGTCCCCAGCCAAGGCCAGGCAGCTTGGCCTCAGCTGTCTGTGCTTGGTGTTCTCTCCTGTGAAGGGGGACACTCAGGAGCCAGCCCGTGGGGCTGTGAGTAGCCATGACCTCAGAAGAGTGCCAGCACCTCCTGAGTACTGTCCAAGTGCAAGTTCACTCGTGTAACTGCCCACAGGCACCACTGGGAAGGCGCCGTCCCCGCCGCCCCTCCTCACCGACCGGCAGGCGAATGAGAAGGTGGAGAACCTGTCCATTCAGCTGCGGCTGATGACCCGCGAGAGGAATGAGCTGCGCAAACGCCTGGCCTTTGCGACCCACGGGACGACCTTTGATAAGAGGTATTAATTGCGCCTGCCCAGCCTCACGGGCAGGGGTTAGGGTGCTGACGTCAGTGCTGTCCCCTCTCGCACTTACCCTTAGCTCTCAGGGTCCAGGCTGCAAGGCCAGGGTGTCCAAACCCCACATCCCTAAGTGCTCCCCAGAGGCAGAACCTGGAGGCTATGGCAGGGGAGGGGGCAGACAGGCTTGTCCTGCTTCCTCCAGATAAAAAACAGGCTGTGGCCTGAGTCACACAGCTTAGAGATGGAGAAGGCGGTGTGTGGTGTGTCCCCATCAGGCATTTGGAGTGGAGTGCTTATCTGAGAGGTGGGCTGTGTGTGTGTGTGTGTGTGTGTGTGTGTACACGTACCTGCTCTGTCTCCTAGAAGACCCCAGCCTGCCTTGTTGCTGAATGGAATATTCTTTGGTTTGTGAATATATTAACTGTTCTCTGCCACCTGTGTCTTAGGAAGGGTTCAGTCCACTTATTTTGAAGGAGATCTTAGCTTTTTGGGTTGGGATTCAGAGGTACATACTAGAGCCGCTGAGTGGGACACAGAGAGTCTATGTACCTGCATGATCCAGGAGGACTTCCTGATGGAGGAGGGACGGAGAGCCATTTATCCTTTAGCTCCCATGCTGGTGGGCGTCTTAGGGCAGAGAATTGGTGTGAACAGTTTGATTTAACTTCTTCCTATTACGAAAGGGTCTGTGCTTCTGGTATATGTTAGGGCTGCAAAGCCTGATTTTTTTTTTTTTTTTTAATGTTTATTTTTAGTTGTAGTTGGACACAATAACTTTATTTATTTTTACGTGGTTTTGAGGATCGAACCCAGGGCCTTACACATGCTAGGTGAGTGTTCTACTGCGGAGCCACAACCCCAGATCCGCAAAGCCTGATTCTTGAAGTGGTTTTTAGGAGGATATGCTCCTTAGTCAGATGGCACAAAGACAAGATGAGAGAAAACGTGGACATCCTAACCCGAGTGGGTACACTGTGGCCCCAAGGCCAAATGCAGTCCCTTGTTTCACAAATAAACACAGCCATGCTCATTTATTTACATATTGTCCACAACTGCTTTTGTGCTAGAAGGGTACTCTGTAGCCCACAAAGCACAAAGAATTCGCTATCTGGCCCTTTTTGAAAAACGGTTGCTGATTTCTCTCTAGGGAAGGGATTCTCAAAACTTAAGCATGCACAGAATTTCCCTGGAGGGCTGGTTAAAGCACACTATGCTAGTTAACCTTCCCTCTCTCTGGAGCATGTGATTCTGGAGGTCTGTGACTGGGTCTGAGAATTTGCATTTCTGACAAGTTCCCGGGTGATACCAGAGCTGTAAATCTGGGAGGCCCATTTTGAGAACCAGTGTTCTTGGTCAATGTTCTCAACCTTGATTGCACGTTGGAACCCCCAGGGGGAATTTAAAAAGAAATTTGGGCCAGGGTGTATGTCTCCATGGTATAGCACTTGCCTGGCATGTGTGAGGCTCTGGGTTCAACTCCTAGCATTGGGGGAAGAAAAAATTCCGACGTCTGGGTCCCACCTCCAGAGATGCTGACGTAACAGGTTTTGTCATTGTTGTTTTGATCTGTACCCAAGATTGAGAATCACTGTTCTGAAGACAGGAGAAACTTCATCACAGGTTGCTGGTAGACCCAGACTCCCAGAACCTCCCAGAAAGCAAGGCAGCCACTTCTTGGCTCTCCAAGAGAGAGAGGTTCAGGCAGTCAAGGCTACTCTCTTCTGCTGGTCTGGGGAGCTGGGTTAGCTGAGTTTAACAAGCACTAGGGAGTTGGGGGGCGCTGACCCCAGGTCAATGTGACTCTTGGGGCCTGTGTTCACGGGCTGTTTACTTTGGGGCCAGGCCCTACCACAGACTGAATCCTGACTACGAGAGGCTGAAGATCCAGTGTGTGCGGGCCATGTCGGACCTGCAGAGTCTCCAGAACCAGCACACCAATGCCTTGAAGAGGTGCGAGGAGGTGGCCAAGGAGACCGACTTCTACCAGTAAGTGTGCCCGCGCGGCAGGGCCTGGCACCCGCAGAACAGCTGCTTTCTGCCCTTCTTTATCTCTGGACCTGTGCCAGGGGCTCTGGTTGTATTCCTGCCTCTGCAAGAGGAATTGTGCCTTTGGGTTTCCATTTTCCTAAGGGTAGAGGGAGAACGTTAACCCTTTCCGTCATCTGCTGCCAGCTGCAGAGCCATGTGAACGTGAGGCGGGGGGTCGGGCAGATCTCTGGGACTCTGTCCAGGGGCCTTCCTGCACCTTGTACCTGTGGGACAGGCATCTCTCCTTGGGTCTTCTGGCCCCCTCGTAGGGATTTGCCTTCTGATGTTTTCTGAGGTCCCAGTACCTGTAGGAACCAGGTCTGTGCCAGGTGGGGACTTGTGTCCTTTCCCTGTGATACATGAGCCCGTTTTCATGCCAGGTTTTAAAAAAGTGGTTTGAGTCTTTTTGGAATTTGGATGTTCACAGGCTTTGGCCCAGGGTTCCTCCCACCGTCTTATCATTCAAGAGTAATTTGCCAACTTTCTGGCCTGTGTCTTGAGTGCTGCTGGCCCTGCTGCCGGGGGCTCCTGTCTGAGATCTTTACTGGGGACTTGGGTGCTGGAGGGACTGGCAATGCCTGGAGATGGGGTGCTAGAGTCTGGTTGGGACTCACTGTGTGTGGGTGGGGGTTCAGCACACTCCACAGCCGGCTCCTGAGTGACCAGACTCAGCTGAAGGATGATGTGGACATGCTGAGGCGGGAGAACGGGCAGCTGCTGCGGGAGCGGAACCTACTGCAGCAGTCCTGGGAAGACATGAAGCGGCTTCATGAGGAGGACCAGAAGGAGATTGGAGACCTCCGGGCGCAGCAGCAGCAGGTAGGGCTGGGCGGCTGGGGGCAGACTGAGTCAGCCATCCCCCTGTCCTCCCACCTACCCACCCACCCATTCGTCTAGTTTTTCATTCGTATGATCATTCAGCAAATACTTCTGGGATGTCTGCCGTGTGGGAGACTCCGGGATGTTGGTGAACACTTGGCCCTCGTTCTCCCGGAAGCTGCAGCCCAGGAGGGAGACCAGTGTTAACCACACATATTGCATAGCGTTGTGAATGTTGCAGGGGCTACCAAGGAGGGTGGGCAGTTTGGAATGCCACACAAGGGGGCAGGTAGCAGAGGCATTTGACTGAGTTCGAGGTTTGGGAATCTGTAGCTTATTTCCTAGTGCGGATTTTGTCAGATTATAGATGCAAAGAAGTTTGGAAATGTTAGAGCCCTGTGCAAGTGAGCAGTGGAGCAGTCCTCACTTTGGCTTTTGGGTGGGAGTGTGGTCTCTTGCTCTTGATGCTCCCTGCATTCCTAGATGGTCTTTTCTTTGGCCTCGGCCAGCTTGTGGTTCACATGGACAGAGGTATGAGCAGTGGCCGAGTCAGAGCACTGGCTTCTGTGAGTGACATAGGCCGAGTTCTTCCCTCCTGTGGCTTGCAATCTAGAATAGCTCCACTGCTCAGGGACATGGAAAGGGCTTGTACTGGCTCTGTCTGAGGATGGTGGGGGACTTGGTATTGGGAGAAATTTCCAAGGAGAGATGGTTCCTCTAAGCACTGTGGTAATCTAACCAAGGAGAGAATGACTCCCCAGCAGAGAGCATTTCCGGGAGTCTTGGGTAAGCTGGTGTAACAACCAAAACTTTTCTGTTCATTTAGCATAATGTTACCTTTTTGCTTTCTTTTCATTTACAATTAAGAATTTTTAAATGCAAAACTGCTATAAAGTTGTAGACAATTTGGAAGTCTAATACGGGGTTCCCCTCACTGCCTTATCATTCAAGAGTAATTTGCCAACTTTCTGCCTCATCACACCCAGATGCACTCCTGTATTTCTTAAAACAAGGATATTCTCCCATACCACAGAAATGCAAACATTAATGTTGACGCACGATTGCCATCCAGTTTGTCAGACCCCATGGAGCTTTGCCAGTCTCAAGAGTGTCTTTTAAAGGAAAAGGATCCAGTTAGAATAAAGCATTGCCCATAGCTGTCACATCTCTTTGCTCTCCTTCCATTCAGAACAGTTTCTCAGACCTTTCTAGACTTTCATGACCTTGATGCTATTAAAGGTTACAGGCTGGTTATTTTGTAGGATGCCCCTCAACTTGGATCTGTCTGATCCTCGCGATTTGATTCAGTCTCTGCCTTTTTAATGGGAATACCCAAGAGACGATGATGTGGGCTTCTCATTGCATTCTCTTGATGGGGACTTAGTTTGTTTAGACCTGCCACTGATGTCGTTCTCTTTGATTAAGTTGGCATCTCTTCCAGGCTTCTCCACGGCAGAGGGCTTTCTTTTGTTCTTCCTTCCCTTCCTCCCTTCTTTCTAGCGTCTCTGTTTCCTTCGACATGGACCTCAGTATATTTCACTTAGTGGATTATAATCCATTGTGGCTAGGGGTAGCTTCTAAAAGCTGCTTCTCAGGCTGGGGTTGTAGTTCAGGGGTAGGGCGCTTGCTTAGCATGTGCGAGATCCTAGGTTTGATCCCCAGCATGCTATTCATGCACACACACACACACACTTAAAATTTAAATTAAATAAACAAATAAAAAGAAAAGCTTGCTTTTCCATTCTTTCAATATGCCCCCTCGTTCTTTTAGTACTTTCTTGCTCTGTGCAAAAGAGGTATTCCAGGCTCATTTTATAGTTTCCTTGCCCTGGACCCTGGTACCAGTCATTTATTTCTCCAGGGAGTTCTTATTCCTTTTAATGGAGAATAGTATTAGGAAGCAAGATGTGAGAGCTGGGGATGCTTGTAGCTATTGGAGTATCACTGCTGCAGACCCTTACAGAGGACAGAGGTAGGGAAGAACCAAGTTCTCACACAGTTCACATCTATATTTCTGTGTCTAGATATGTATTTTTGAGAACTAGGAGTCAGACACAGTGGTTGCTTCCCTGAAATCCCAGCAATTCAAGAGGTTGAGGCAGGAGGCTCACAAATTGCCTGTGCAAGTTAGTGAGACCCTGTCTCCAAAAAGGGCCGAGGTTGTAGCTGAGCTGCAGAACACTCCTCGTTCAATCCCAGTACCAAAACAACAACAAAAACATGAGTTCATACCGACACTTCCACTTTTGTCATCCATGTTCTTTCTAGTTTTCTTCCTTTCAGTTTTGTAACTCCCCGTTAAAACAACACTGGGAAACCTGATTCCTATTATTCTTTGTGTGTGTGCGCGTGCGTGCTTGTGTGCTTGTGCATGCGTGCTTGGAGATTGAACCCAAGGGCACTTAACCACTGAGCCACATCCCCAGCCCTTTTTATTTTTTATTTTGAGACAGGGTATTGCTAAATTGCTTAGAGCCTTGCTGAGTTGCTGAGGCTGGCCTTGAACCTTGTGATCCTCCTGTCTTAGCCTCCCGAGCCCCTGGGATTACAGGCATGTGCCACCATGCCTGGCTGGTTCCTATTATTCTTTTGTAACTTTTTTGTTTGTTTGTTATAGATGGACACAATATCTTTATTTTGTTTATTTATTTTTATATGGTGCTGAGGATTGAACCCAGCGCCTCACAAGTGCAAGGCAAGCACTCTGGCACTGAGCCACAACCCTAGCCCGTGGTTCCTATTATTCTTCATCTATTTACTTACATGATCAGTCCCCCTTTATGAACCCACCACCCATCCCCTCTGCAGTCTTCCCCATACCAATTTCTTCTTGCCCTTCATAGGTCCTCATACCCCACACTTTCCTCCCACCAGTACATGACTCAACAAGAACCCCCCACCCCAGCCCCTGATAGCAGGCATCCTTCCCTCACCCTCCTTGCTTCCTGTCTCACTATTGGCTTTAAGGTTAAATCATTCAGAAAGAAAAAAGGACATGGTTTTCTTTTCATTTTTATTTTTTCAATTTTTGCAAGATTAATATGTATTTTGCAACAAAAAACAAAACAGTCAGTACAGAAATTTAAAAAATAAGTAGGCTTCCTTAGTCTCATTTTGCAGAAATCACTATGGTGAGTGTACTGCCAGGGTGAAGTTGAGATTTTTATCTGTACCTTAGAGCCCTTTTGTATCTTATTAATTTATTTCACAAAATGAATCATATAGTACATTTTGTTGCTAACATTTTTTTTTTTTTTTGCTTGATACATCATGTTTGTCATTTTGTCTTAGTACAGATTCTATTTCATTGTTTTGCAAAGTACTGAGTTACATAAAAGCACTGTAACTGATTTAACCATTCACCTATTGGCTGACCCTTGGGCTATTTCAGGATTTTCCATTATGAATTCTATTCTATTGAAAAATTTGCTTCCATCATTTATTTTCTTTCTCTGGTATTTACTGAGGTTGTTGGTGGTGTACTCAGAGCAGAATCAGTTAGGGACACGAGAGAGATGTACTTGGAGCTGTTGGTAATCTTTTTCATGAGTTCTGGATTGAGGGAATTGGTTATGTTGGTCCAGCCTAGAACCTGGGCGGGGATATCTACCTGTAAGCCTGCCTTTGGGAGTCTTGGTCATGGAAAAAACATTCCTGAAGGGGAAATAAATGTAGGCTAGGGCAGCAGGAGTCCACCCTGGGGCCAAGAGCCATGCAGATCCTGGGAGACTCCACTGCCTCCACCTGTGGTGTGGCCTCAGAGAGGGGACTGCAGGATAACACCGTCTTCCCTGTCCGTTTAGGGTTCAGGAGGTGTGTGAAGGGTGCTTTTGGAGCATTGCTGTAAGAATGAAATGAGATAGACACGAAGGAGAGAGCCTGCTCCAGTTCTAGTCTGTACCACCTGAATCCCCACCCTCCTCAGGAGACCTCCCTCCTGGATGTCCACAGAGCTTCCCAAGACTTTCAGGGGTTTTTTTAGAGGCAAAAAACATTCACCTTCAAAGAAATTCTTTTGAGTGTTCTGAGGCAAATGAAGAGGGAGTTAGTTACAGTGGTGAATCAAGGTGCCCAAGGGACCGAACAGCCAGCTGAAGACTCAGGGTCTTCCCTGCCTGGGTGGTGACTGCCCACCAGAGAGGTGGGTGGCCCTTCCTTGTCTTCACCTGTACCCTGCTCTGTTCCCTCACCTACTGCCTGCTGGTTTTCTTTACCCTCTCTTCCAGTATAAACTTGGCTCAGTTAACCTTTGCCTTGGGGCTTAGTTTGGATTCACTCTTGAGAGATTCATAATTGCAAATGTGTTTGTGGCTCTTAATCCAGGGGAAGTTCCGCGGCCATGCTAGGATATGTGAGAGTGGGGCTTTCTCAGTGCAGCAGAACTGGTCTCGTGTGATGTCTGGAGACAGAATGATACCACATATCCTAACTGGCACCGCGTGCCTGTGCATTCAACACTCAACAGGTTGCCCTCGTTATTGTTATTATTCTGGACTTGCCTAGTCTGGATTAAAATCTGCCTCATTGAGAATGTGGAGAAGCTGGAACCTTTGTACATTACTGGCAGGAATGTCAAATGGTATAGTCACTGTGAAAATGGTGTAGCAATTCCTCAAAAAAAAACAAGTTACCACATGATCCATTCCTAAGTGTATGCCCAAGAGAACTGAACATATAGTCCATACAGAAACCAGGATGTTTGTAAAGCAGCCCCAAAGTGAAAACAACCCAAATGGCCACCCACTTATGAATGAATAAGTAAAATGTGGTATATCTCCTCAATGGAATATTATTTAGCATAAAAATAATATATGTGATAATGTGGGTGAACCTTGAAAACATGTCAAATGTTATTAAGGTTATTCTGTTACTGAAACCAATATCTGAGATAATCAGCTCATTTGGAGGCAAGGTTTATTTTTGCTCAGGAGGTTTTGGTCCACAGTTGCTTGGCCCTATTGCTTTTGGGCTTGTGGCAAAGCAGTACATTGTGGTGGGAG